TTTTTTTCCGATTTCCGTAGATTGAGCCTTTGCGATTGTTTAGACACTGTAGAGCTCGCTTTGCTCTATCGCACTCTGCATCAATCAAATACTTCTCGTGGTCGACCTTGCCATTATCCTTGAGATTTGGGCAAAAGTCAGATTTTTTCTAAGCTTTAATGAATTAGATATGTAATTTCATTTTTTCAAGCGCACCTGGATCTGTTAAGTCAAGATTCGCCATTCACCGTTTGCTTTCATCTCATTGCATGCGCAAGCGAAACGAAAGTAAATCGCTGACTAGTTCGTAAAGACTTTTTGAACGATATGTCCTTCTTTTATTGTGACTAAATTTCAAAATCATTTATTATACACTAAAAGCTTCACTAATCACTATTAGAAGTCTGATATGAGAATGAGATCTGTACATTATGCACTAGCTTCTATTATAATCCTAGTTATCATTCGAAGAGATCCGTCCACCATTGATGTAAGTCTGGAGTCGGTTCGAAATGATGAAACTCCATAGAAGGCGACGTCGCATGTAGGCCCATGACATCACTGGCTGGAATATTGGTATACGTGTTTGAGTTTTTGGAAGTTTTGACTTTTCAAAGCAAAGGTTACCAGGATTATTTGTCATTGGTGTATCTACGGAATGTCTTCGTTCTTGTGGTGAATCACTGGCTTCATCCAAATTTTCCTCCAAGTCGGGCAGCTCATAAGTGGGCATCTCAGATACAAAATAAAATACAATGCAAATACCAAAATGAGAAGAAGTAGTTACCTGCAAGTTTTTAAGAGTCCCTCGCCTATCTTTCAAAGCTCCCTTTGACTCGGCTGCCTTTTCTAGACGCTTTGCCAGACTGCCAAACATGAACTTTTTGGCTTCTCCCACGAGTTCAGGAATAGAATTCCGGCGTGCCCTTGGCTTTTTTCGGCTTCCATTATCCTCATCAATGCTCTCTCGAGAGTCGAATGACTCAAAATTCTGCTGCAAAAAGTGCATCATATGCAGTTCCACAGTTGGAGTTGAAAGAGTAGACTTTCTTCGGAATTTTTGGGAAGACAATTTAAGCCTTTATTTTAACAACTTATTCAAAACCTGATTGCACAGCCATTTCCTGCGTTAGAAGTGAATAATTCATAAACAAGTTATTCCATCAAAAGCTGTCATTTCACAAATAAATTTGAGGAATAGTTATCAAAAATGGCAATCATAATTATTTTCTGACATAAACCCTTATATCTTTTTCTTTTTTGGAATAAAAACCTTGGCACTTTAAACTTGGGATCTACCAAGGGATGCTTGCGGAGTCGAAGTGGCCAATCACTACAA